CCAACCCACACAATTTTATTAAAAAAGCCTTCTGGATTCACTCCTGCACATTTTGGAAGTTCTTTTTGATCATACAATTTTCCCCTTTTTATTGCATGTTTTAGGGTCATTTAATAAATCTCCATCGATCCCTTTTTGTAACATTTCTTGTGTACATGTTGAAGTCCTTGCTGAAGCTATTGTTCTTACATCATTGTGGTGCAAATATCTTTTCTATCCATTGTTCAGACCCTTCATCTCCTCCTTCATTTTCTGGAAGTATGACTTGAATTGGATATTCATTTGAGTCAAATAATTCGATACAATTTAAAATTGTTTTATAATAAGGACTAAGTGTATGAAAACTTATAAAACTTTTCAATATAAAAGTGTTCACTTTTTTGTCTGAAACTCTACAATATATGGGTTCAACTAATGACCCATATTCGTTTTTTAATTCTTCATTTTCAATATATTCTGTGGTTCTATTAATTGATTTTAAAAATTCTTCTTCCATTAAATGATGCTTATTAATGTTTTCTATCTGTTCTTTGTTCACTTTATATCTTGAACCATATCTAAGGATTGAATAATTAACATTATCACTTTGACCATTTTCCCATGTAATATAAATTGGTTTATTTAAATAATTTTTTGATAGTGGTTGTAAAGATAATCTTCCTTGTGTTAATGCGTAATCAGATTCTGATGACTTTGCTTCTGTGAATTGTGCATGTGGACACCTTAATCGAATATACTCTTTTCCAAATTCACGAATAATATTAAATGGATATTCTCTATTTGTTGTTTTAACTGTACATTCTGATTATTTGTTATTTCATTTGGTGTATTCACGGTAATACCTTAGAGTTATTATCAACATTTATTGTAAATAGAATGAAATAATAGAAAAGTGTTATTTCATTATTTTTTTATTCTAAAACTAAATGAGAATCAATTCATCTTTCTTTTATTTTATTTTCTTCTTATTTTCATATCATTTTTATTTTCATTTTCATTAACATTACATTTAATATATTTTCATGTTTTTTATTCTTAATTTAAATCAAACATCATTCATTATTTCAAATATAATTTATTTGTTATCAATTTATTGTTATTTATGTATTAGTTTGTTATTGATTGTTGTTTTATAATTAATTATATAATAAATTTATTTATTCATTTTTACTTTTTATTTATTTTATTATCTTTGATTTTATATTTATATTCATTTTTAATTTTAAATTATTAATTATTTTATGTTATTCATTTATTATTATTTCTTATTTATATT